GCTTGAGCCCAGGAGTTGCAGGTTGCTGTGAGCTGTAATGCCACGGCACTCTACCCAGGGGGACAGCTTGAGGCTCTGTCTCTAAAAATAAAAAAAAAAAAAAAAAAAAAAAAAAAAAAAAAGAGAAAACTGATCAATTTGATTATGTAAAAATAAACTGCATAGGGAACACCCTCCTAAAACAGTCTAATGACAAACTGGGGACATTATTTGCAACTCTTATCATAGATGAAAGGCCAACTCTCCCTAGTATTAAAAGAAATTGAAAGTATCAATGACTCAATAAAAAAATGGGTAAAAGACATAGGAGACATTTCATAAGAAAAGAAAAACAAATGGTTTTTAATATAAGAAAGGATATTTGACCTTACTCCTAAGAAGATATATATAAAATTAGCCGAAATCCATCTGACAATACTCTCTAGGAAAATGGGCATTCTTATTCATCACTAGTGGAAGATAAAATAGCACAGCCCCTATAAAGAAGAGTTTGGTGGTATCTACCAAAACTACTGACTCTGACTCGATGGTCCCAATTCAGGAAAACATCCTATAAACATGTAAGCAGATAGAAAGGATTCTCAAAATCACATTTTTACAACTGCCTATGAAGTAGCTTGCTTGTGTCTTGTACCTGAACATACAGACATCAGTGATTTCCATTTAACTTTTCTCAGTTACTTAGTTACTAGCTTGACCTTAAGATACAATATGAAAAGAATTCTAGTTCATTATAGGATAATTTCCAAAAGTGCAACTACTGGATCTACTGCTATGCATGGAATGAGCACTGAAATGACATACACTACGCCTTCCCCAGCATTCAGCTGGTACACCTATGATGATAATCGCCAATGCTAACAGTGGGACATCCACGTAGGTGGAAGAATATGCTTCCTAAAGGTAGTAGGCAGTGTTCAGTGTTCCTAAGGCACAACTTTCTGTGCCAGGCATCCACGAGCCTCCTTTTCTCCTAGAAATTTAAAATTCTTGGCCCAGGGCAAAACTCAATTTATTTTTGGGGAAAACTCAAGCAAAGGTCCAGTTTCCTAAATTATCCCAGAGTCCAAATTTGGAAAGGGTGGCTGAGTAAGATGACTTTCTGAACATTGCCTTTTCATGTTCTTAAATGCCATCTGGCCTGCACTGCACCAGGACAGTCATTAACCAGAGATACTGTTAATTTACAAAAATTCAAAAGAGGCTTTGTTTTGCTTTTTAGATAAACATCCAACCACAGGTACCTTGAAGGAAGAGTTTAAATTCCTATCACCGGCTCATGGCTATAATGATAACACTCTGGGAGGCTGAGGTGGAGGAATGCTTGAGCCCAGGACTTTTAAGACCAGCCTGAGAAAGAGCAAGATCCTGTTTTTACAAAAAATAGAAAAATTAGCCAGATATGGTAGTGTGTATCTGTAGTCCTAGCTACTTGGGAGGCTAAGGCAGGAGGATCACTTGAGCCCAGGAGTGTGAGATTGAAGTAAGCTATGATGATGCCACTGCACTCTAGCCTAAAGTACGACCCTCTCTCAAAAAAACCCCAAACACCCCCACTCCCATTCTACTAAGGAACAAATCTCCAGTAAACTCTCCAAGATAACATCTGTTTAAAGTTAAAAATAAGTTGTTTCCTGGAATAAAATGGAACAAGACTGGTAAAAAACTAGCCAAATCTAAATATATACGTCGTATCTTTTAAAATTAGTCAGTCTGGATTTAGCCCACTTTCTGAGCTACTACACTTAATTCCCTTGTCAATTCTGCATAAAAACACATGAAATTCCTATCTGGAGTCTTACTTTCTGGATCCAAAAGATATGTATATATTTTTGATATATATATATATTCTGCTGTCATGTTCGATACTTGAGAATACTCAAATGTCAATATTCCAATTTTTCTGCATAGACTCCCAAATCAGTGTTTCAAATTAATTAGCCAAAACACAAGAAGCCACTAGAGAGGGGATTTTATTTATTTATTTACTTACAGAGTCTTGCTGCTCTGTTGCCTGGGCTAGTGTGCCAAGGCACCAAACTCCTTGGCTCAAGCAGTTCTCCTGTCTCAGCCTCCCAAAGAGCTGGGACTACAGGCATGAATCAACAGGCCTGGCTGATTTCCTATTTTTAGTAGAGACAGGGTCTTGATCCTGCTCTAGCTGGTCTTGGAACTTCTGACCTTGAATGATCTTCCTGCCTTAGCCTCCCTGAGTTCTGGTATTATAGGATGATATTGCTTTTTAACATTTCCCTAGCCATGGAAGGGGAATTTCTGTAGCCACTTAGAAGGCTACACATAAAATATCCTCACTGTTAAAGGATGGCTGTCTTTCAATTCTATTTTGCAAAAGAAATTCTATTAAGAGTTTAAAAACCTTTATCATTCTGCCAAGGATCAGAATGAAGAACTAAACTATTTAAAAAGTTTAATCAGGCTCAGCACCTATAGCTCAGTGGCTAGGGTGCCAGTCATATACACCGGAGCTGGCAGGTTCAAATCCAGCACAGGCCTGCCAAACAATAATTAGACAACTACAACCAAAAAATAGCCAGGCGTTGTGGCAGGCACCTATAGTCCCAGCTACTTGGGAGGCTGAGGCAAGAGAATCATTTAAGCTCAAGAGTTTGAGGTTGCTGTGAGCTATGACATCACAGCACTCTACCCAGTGCATCAGCTGGGTAGAAAAAAAAAAGTTTAATTACTGTACTAGACTTTGAATGTTGAGCTATTTCAAAAGAAACCAGCCTGGATACCATTCGACCAAAGAACCTTTATGTTCTACAGCCAGCAACTAATTGACTAGCAGACAACACGACAAAACCACCCACGGGTATCTGATGACCTCAGTGAAACTGCACCAAAAACTCAATTATAAAATGTCCTGTTAATGCTCATTATTCTTCTCAGAAGATGAGGTTCTTCTGAGGGAAGCACTCTACAGTGACTCATCCAAATTTATGGCCGGTCTCTCCTCTGTCAGGTCAACAATTCTGCCTATTCATGCCTTATCTACTACCTAAGAATTTGTTATAGATTCTATTCTAAAAAGACCTTGGGACTAACCCAAGGAAAGAGCCAAAACTTGCTAGATATCTGAGGAAACACAGGTGGGTAGGAAACTTAAAAGCTTTTGATCTAAGACTTCCTGGTAACAAGGATACTTAATACTCAGTCACAGTATGTTTAATGCTCAATTCTTCTAGTCCTGTCCTGTAAAAGATTAGAGCCACTATGAAAAAATAACAACATTCAGTGAATTTGGTGGTGGTTATTCAGTTAAATCTTCAACAAGTTCCAGCATCAATAAAACTCCTAGTTCTATTTTCTACAGTTATGGTGTGTTTTGGTATAAAGGTATAAATCACCATACCCTAGTCTCCCTCCAAGATATCTACTCCATACCTGCATGAATACCTTTCCAATGACCACATCATCATCATCCTTAAACACTGTGCTGAAGACTACCGTGACTCTGTCCTTTTTGGATTCAACGTACCTGGGGGAAACAAAATCCGTGAGAATAAGCACAGCATCAGAATGGGATTTTGCCAATAACTTGATCAAGTAAAGTAGAAGGCTAAAGTCATAATTATATCTCTTAATTCCTAAAACAAAGGTGTGCCAAATGAGACTAGATATTTATGGCCACAAAGTCACTATAGAAAATGTAGAGAGGCAAGAGATGGAAATTACCAAAAGCATATTTTATTAACTTGTGTATATGAACATGGAATACAGAGTTAGTGATTCTCAGAACTCTACTTTTAGACTCATAGTATACAGATAATCTGAGTTGCAACAGCACAGAACCTAAGGTCATCTTCTGCTGCCTGATTATCTGGACTACACTCTTAAAGAGGACTCAGAATAGTGGTGCCTTAAAGGAAATCATTAGATTCTCTTTTCATTTTTTGACAACTCTCAGTATCTGGAGACTAGGACAAGTAGCCGATTTTTCCCTTTATCATCCACATCCTACTTAAGGAATTTTATGAGAAAACAAAGGGGATTCATACAAGAGAATTTAAGGTTTAAATGAGCCATAATTCTTTTAGCAAGTGCCATCCTAGTGTGACAGCCACACCCAGTCTTCAGGACCAAATTCTATACTCACATGGTCTCATCATCCCTATAATGGATAACTGCCCTGTTCTCTCCTTCCTTGCCTTCTTCTTGGAACTGGAAGTATTTCTCAAAGACAGAGGCAAAACAGTTTCGCTTCAACATGCCAGCCTGATGTACAATGGAATCCTTGGACGTGGGCAGATTTTCAAGGTCATACAGCAAGGAGACATTGTATCCTGTGATTAAGGGGTGGGGGAAGAAAACACTCAGTGTTTATATTTTAAGAAAGAAAGCTTACTAATCTCTCCTAAGTAAACAGAAACTAGAGGTAATTTTTTTTTTTTCAGACAGAGCCTCAAGCTGTCCCCCTGGGTAGAGTGCTGTGGCATCACAGTTCACAGCAACCTCTAACTCCTGAGCTCAAGTGAATCTCCTGCCTCAGCCTCCCAAGTAGCTGGGGCCACAGGCGCCTGCCACAACGCCTGGCTATTTTTTGGTTGCAGCCGTCATTGTTGTTTGG